CCCATAGGGAGCTCCAGCGAAGGCCCCAGTGGCTGCGCTCCCATGCGCCCACCGCACCCATTTCGGCACACCCCTCACACGTTTCGTGGCCCCATAGGGAGCTCCAGCGAAGGCCCCAGTGGCTGCGCTCCCATGCGCCCACCGCACAGATTTCGGCACACCCCTCACACGCTTCGTGGCCCCATAGGGAGCTCCAGCGAAGGCCCCAGTGGCTGCGCTCCCATGCGCCCACCGCACCCATGTCGGCACACCCCTCACACGTTTCGTGGCCCCATAGGGATCTCCAGCGAAGGCCACAGTGGCTGCGCTCCCATGCGCCCACCGCGCCCATTTCGGCACACCCCTCACACGTTTCGTGGCCCCATAGGGAGCTCCACCGAAGGCCCCAGTGGCTGCGCTCCCATGCGCCCGCCGCGCCCATTTCGGGACACCCCTCACACGTTTCGTGGCCCCATAGGGAGCTCCAGCGAAGGCCCCAGTGGCTGCGCTCCCATGCGCCCACCGCGCCCATTTCGGCACACCCCTCATACGTTTCGTGGCCCCATAGGGAGCTCCAGCGAAGGCCCCAGTGGCTGCGCTCCCATGCGCCCGCCGTACAGATTTCGGCACACCCCTCACACGTTTCGTGGCCACCGCACAGATTTCCGCACACCCCTACAGCGCCATCGAAGAAGATACTCACACTTGCGGTACTCGCAACTGCATCTGGTTGGGTCCTTCGCCAGGGTAATTTTCAGGTGTGATTATTACCACCACCATTACCACCACTGCTGCTATTCCCACTACCTTGTTGTTCCCCCGCGATCTCTACGACAACAACAACAACAACAACAACTACTACTACTACTACTACTACTACGATGGCCACCACTACTACTATTATTACTTCTACTACTACTACTACTACTACTACTACTACTACTAGTAAAACTGCTACTACTACTACTACTACTACTACTACTAGTCATTTTATTACCACTACTATTACTACTACTACAACTACTATTACTATTCCGATTAGTGCTATTACTATTGCTATTACGGCTACTGCTACTGCTTCTATTGCTACTACTACTACTACTACTACTACTACTACCACTACTACTACTACTACTACTACTACTTCTACTACTACTACTACTACTACTACTACTATTGCTACGACTATTGTTGTTGGTACTACACATACATACCATTACCACTGCTACCGCCACCACCGTCCTTGTCCTTACTACCACCTCCGCCACGACTATTGATGTTGCCACTACTGCTACCCCCATCGCCACCACAACTACCACTGCCCTGCCACTTCACTTCACTATGTTGCCACTACCATCCCCACCCACCAATACGAGTACCACTACCAGTACCACTGCCCTGGCTATTGTTATTACCATTATCCTGCTGTTCACCCTTCTGCCACTAGAAGTAGCAGTGCTACTACTACTACTACTACTACTACTACTACCACTACTACTACTACTACTACTACTACTACTACTACTTCTACTACTACTACTACTACTACTTCTACTACTACCATTACCACTACTACTACTACGACGACTACTACTACTACTACTAAGACTACCACTACTACTAGTACTAGTACTACTACTACTACTACTACTACTACTACTACTACTACTACTACGACTGTACTACTACTGCTACTACAACAACTACTACTACTACTACTACTACTACTCGTACCACTACTAAAACTAATACTACTACTACTGCTACTGCTACTACTACTACTACTACTACTACTGCTACTACTACTACTACTACAACTACCACTATCACCTATCATGACTACTGCGACTACTATTATTATTTTCGTACTGCTTCTACTACTACTATTCGTACCGCTGTTACCACTGCTACCACGACGCCGACAACGACGACGACGACGACGACGACGACGACGACGACGACGACTACTACTACTACTACTACTACTATTACTTTTACTATTCCGACTACTAGGGGTAGTACTACGAACGCTGCTACCACTATTACTATCACTACTGCGCCCAGCTACTGCTGTTGCTCTGCTGCTGGTGTCAGTACTGTTGCTGCTACTGCCACTTGTACTACTACTACTACTACTAATAAGGCTGTGGTCATGCTGTTACTCCTACGACTACTTTTACGACACATATTTCGAATACGATTGTTACTACTACTTCCACTATTCGTGCTGATGCTGCGAGAGCTATTCTTGCCACGACGAAGACGACTACTATTACTATTACTACTACTTTTTCTATTGCTACTACTACTACTACTACTACTGCTGCTGCTGCTGCTACTCCTACTCTTACGACGTCTATTACTATCACTGCTACTACAACTACTATTATTACGACTATTGCTACTACTATTACTATTACGGCTACTGCTACGGCTTCTATTGCTATTACTACCACTACTTCTACTACGACGGCGACGCCTACTACTACTACTACTGCTACTACTACTACTACTGCTACTACTACCACCACTACTACCTTTACTACTACTACTACTACTACTTCTACTACTACCACTACTACTACTACTACCACTACTACTACTACTTCTAGTACTACTACTACTTCTACTACTACTTCGACGACCACAACTGTTTTCCGACCGCTACTATCACTTTTCCTACTCCCAGTGCTTCTACTACAACTACTACTACTACTACTTCTACTACTACTACGCCCAGTACTTCTACTACTACAACTACATCTACTACTACTACTACTACTACTACTACTACTACGACTATGACTACTACTACTACTACCACTACCAGTATTTCTACTACTGCTACTACTAATGCTGATATTACTACTACTACTACTACTACTACTACTACTACTACTACTGTTACTACTACTACTACTACTACTACTACTAGTACTACTACTAGTACTACGGCTAGTACTACTACTAGTATTACTACTAGTACTACTACTAATAATAATATTATTATTACTTACTACAACTACCACTAACTACCACTACTACTACTACTACTACTACTACTACTACTACTACTACCTACTACTACTACTACTACTACTACTACTACTACTACTGCTTACTGCTACTGCTACTGCTACTGCTACTGCTACTGCTACTACTACTACTACTACTACTACTACTACTAATACTACTTCTACTACTACTACTGCTACTACTGCTGCTGCTGCTGCTACTCAATCTCCATTCATACCATACATACGGAACTCGGTCCTCGATATTAAACCAGCCCTTGCGGGCGTGAACTGAACAAGAGGAGTTCCTCTTCCAACCCTTTTTCCTTTTGGGGTGGGGGAGGTGGAGCACCGTTTCCTTTACAAGGTCCCCCAGGGTTTGGAAGCGGGGTGGGTCTCCGCGAACCGTTGGAGCGCCCAGGATGGCCCGAGATGGCTTCAAGAGGGCCTCAGAGAGCACAAGGTGGCCTCCAATATAGCTCAAGGCAGTGTAAGGTCTCTCGGAATGACCTCCAGCTTTTTTAAAGAGGCACTAGACAGATGCCCAACTGAACCATTGCGTGTCCAAATGCCTCCCCCTCCCCCAATGCCTCGAAGAAACCATAATCCTTCCCAAACCTACAGAAAATCAATGTTGTTGGCCTTCTCGCCTTTTCGCTTCCGATTGACTCTTAGAGTATGCAGATGGCCCATGAGGGCCCCAACAGGGGCCCCAAGAGGGGGCCCAAGAAAATTGCAGGATGGCCCCCAATTGAACTCAATAGCGCCCCAATAACACCCTCCGTAACGGGTTCGGCTCAAGGCTTGGTTGCCTCGTGGTCCTGCTTGCACCGCGCTAAACCTTTTCAGGAACTTTTTGGGAACGGTGCGTTTCGGCCACATGTGGGCTCTTTTCTCTTCCAGAGAGGACTACCCGACTAATCAGCCCGACGTCCCGCAGTTGCCAACTTCGCTGGTGAACCCCGTCAAAGCGGCCTGCGACTCCGACGACGCTTCCTCGGAAAACCCCAAGCGTTTGTCGGAGGCGGCGCGCTTGGCTCAGGGTCCGTCCACCTGCGCGCCCGGGGCCCCAAGTGCGTCGCAGACAGTCTGGACGACTCCACCCAGTACGCCGCGTGTGCGCTCTGGGATGCCTGCAGCGCCGCCGTCTCTGCAATTCGGAGAGCACCGTGCAGAGCCCTTGCTTTTGGCCCTCGAGCGAAACTGCACGAAGCAAGTGCGCCTCGCCATCGAGGCAGACCCCGAAGCAGCCAAGGAGCCGTTCTGGGACAGCCGTTTCGAATGGCCGCTCTGCGCCGCGATCCGGCTCAGGTGCAGCTTGGAGGTGGTCCGGCTGCTGATCGAGAACGGCGCGGAGGTCGGCGTGGCGAGCGTCGGCGGGCAGTCTCCTCTCCAGCTGCTCAGCACGGGGACGGAGGATCACTTCATTGACTTGAGGGGAATGCCGAACACTCCGCTGGGTGCCGCCGAGTGGATCGAGAGTATGCGCCAGTCCACCGCGCAGTTCGAGCTTGGCGTGGCCACAGCACTGCTGAATGCGGGCGCAGATCCAGCGGCGCACCACGGCGACCCTCGGATGGGAAATTGCTCGAGTCTGGAGCTTGCACGGCGCTCTGGGAAATATCATTTAACAGATCTGTACGAAGCCCACTCCCGTTGCTGACTGTCTTACCCAAGCCAGGCCATCGCGGGAGCGTGGCGCCCTCGAGCTTGCCTCAATGGGGCCCTGGAGGTGATGTGCGGTATCGACTGCCCAGGCCCAGGCCTTCGGACCCGACATGGAACCGCTTGCCTACAGTTGCTGCAGCTTGTGCCAGGTTGGGTTGCTGGGCCATGCATGTCTTCCGCACCCGGCTGCATGTTTTTGCATTTCGCCTCTTGCTCGGGTGCCGAGTCGATCGACGGAGGCGTCCCCTCCTCTCGCATCAATCACTTCTGCGCCGTGCATGTCTTCTAAACCATGCTCGGCCTCGATGCCCTTCTGCGCCATGCATGTCTTCGCACCAGCTGTATGTCTTTGTAATTCCCCTCTTGGTCGGTTGTCGAGTCGAGCGGCGGACTCGTCCCCTCCTCGGGCAATTACTTCTGCGCCGTGCATGTCTTCCACACCATGCTCGGCCTCGATGCCCTTCTGCGCCATGCATGTCTTCGCACCAGCTGTATGTCTTTGTGTTTCGCTTCTTGGCCGGGTGTGAGTCGAGCGGCGGACTCGTCCCCTCCTCGGGCGATCACTTCTGCGACATGCATGTGCTCGACATTTACCTTGGCGACCGCCGTGCGGAGCGTACACCACTCCAGGCGGCTCTTAGGTCTGTGGATTTTCCCAGAGTCAGGATGATCGCGGCTTGTAGTTTGTAGGGTGAGGAGACGGCATTTGGATTATATGTTGATCATGTTCTGCCAGATACGTGGTCCCATATATACCCGTCCTCGCTATAGATATTGATCTGTATATCTCTTCGCTCGAGGTATTGCTCTGTACATTAGTAGCTTGGCCAGTGCACGCGTGAGCGTACACGGCGCGTGTTGCTCTCGGTGCTTGCACAATTTGCATGTCGTAATTGCTGGACTTCTTTCATGTGCGAGTCGAAGTCGTCTCCAGTTGCTCGCTCATTCTCCCTTCCCGAATCCGTAGCAGAGTAAGTGCCTCTGCTGATGTCTTCTTCCGTTGCCCGCTCTCTCATCATTCTCTGTTGTAGTCCGTTCTCTCAGGAGTCCCAATGTTTGTTTCGCTTGAAGCATCTGCTGCGTGCAGTGGTTGTGGTGTCGGCACCTTGTGGGAGGATTGCAGGCAGGTGCGCCGGCCCCACTGAGTGGCTTCCGCGAGTGAGTTGCGACCACGGATGTCCACTGCTTGGCCAGAGGGTAGTTAGACTGCGGTTCGCGATGCGGACCCTGGTTGCTTCGTGCTTTGGAGTTCGCCCCAGACTGCAGAACTTCGATTATAAAGACGATTAGGGGAACACGGCATTCCCTCATAATTTAACGCAGTGGCATGGACCTTCCCTTCTCAGCTTGATGCCTTTCTCCCATCATGCTCTCACATCTTCCCTCATTTACACTTTTTAATAACTACTCGCTCGGTGCCGTCCCGGGTCGCTAGATTGCGGTAAGTGTATTCTCGCATTTTACGTCGCATGGGCGAACAGAGTTTTCGGGTTGTTGGTTGAGGCCTCCAGACTAAGAGGAATAACAGGTGGGGAGGAGGGCACTCTGATTGCCGCAGCAGCGATCGCACCATTGATCTCGCGCCTCGCGCAACGTTTTCGGGCGACGCAATCTATACATATCCACTGCTCCCTGGCCAGGCCCATCCTGAACCCAGGAGCTGTGTATACGCCCTCCTGGCCAAACCAGGAGGGCGTGGCGTATACACAGCTGCTGTGTTCAGGATGGGCCTGGCCAGGGAGCAGTGGATATGTATAGATTGCGTCGCCCTACGTTTGAGATCCGATGTTGATTCCTAGATAGCGAAGCTTACGAGCCAGGGCCGCGATCCCTCCCTCTCCCGCTCTACCCGCCCTGATCCCGACTGACTGGGATGGTCTCCTTTTGCGCTCCTCGAATCGCTCGGGCGCTGAGCCATCCAGCATTCTCCCTGGCGCCCGCCTCGGGCTCATCTCTCCCCCCTCCCCCTCCGTTCCCATCTCCTCGCAGCCCTCGTCCAACTGTCCCACGAGCTCGGCCAGCAAGCAATAGACCAAGCCTCGTCGCATGAGCGGAGGCATCCCGAGGTCGGCTCGGCAAAGGGGCACGGCCAGCTCGCACGGCCTTGCACACACCCCCGAGCCATCAGATTTTTCGCATGGGGACCGCGGAGCGTCTGAGGCGAGCGACCCGAGCATATTGCAAAGGTCTGGAAATGAAAAACCGCCCTGATGGCACCCCAAGAGGGCTCCAAGAGGCGCCTTTAAGCAAGCTCCGAGATGGCGCCCAGAGGGCATCCAGGGCCCCCGAGAGCGCACCAAGATGGCCCCAAGAGGTCCCCAAGAGGCCCCCAAGTGGCCCCCAAGTGGCCCCCGCGGTCGCTAAGAGGCCCCGCGGGCTTGTGCCCCCCCCCCCCCGTGGGTTGTGGATCCCCGCTGGGCTTGTGGAAGCCTCCCCGCGGGGTTTGTGGCCGCCCGCCCCCCCCGAGGTTGCGGAAGTCCCACCCGGGCATGTGGATTCCCCCGCGGTTTTCTGGAATTCCCCCCCAGGCTTGTGGAATCTCCACGCGGGTTAGTGGAACCGCCCACGGGGTTTGCGCCCCCCCCTTGGGGGTTGTGGAACCTCCTCGTCCTCTGCGCCAGTGGATCCTCCGCGGATCTGTGGAACTCTCCTGGGGTATGCCGTCTTGGGGCATGTTAGGGCCGTCTTAGGGCCCTCTTGGGCAGCGTCGAGACTCTCCGGGGGGGGCTTGCTGGAGCGTCTTGGGACGATTTTCGCGGCCTCGTGAACCGTCTTGCGCCGTCTGAAGCCTGGAACAAGCCACTTTCTTGAACCATCTTCGGCACCCAGGGCCTCTTAGGCTGTCTTGGGCCCTCTTGGGGGCCTATTGATCAGGTGCCCGACGCCCTGGCCACACCAGCACTGCAATCTGGCCTGCAAGCCGGCCAACCCAAGGTCGCCCCAAGAGGCCCCCAAGAGGCGCCCTAGCGGCCCCCGCGACCGCCAAGAGGGCCCCAGGACGCCCTAAGCGGCCTCCAAGAAACTCAGCGAAGAAACCCGCAAGAAACATCCCAAGAGACTCCGAGGGGCATCCGAGAGGCCTTCGGCCCTTCACCTCGCACACCTCCTCCTCCTCCTCCTCCTCCTCCTCCTCCTCCTCCTCCTCCTTCCCCTCCTCCTCCTCCTCCCTATAGCTTCGGGCCCGAGGGATCCCCCCTTTCAGGCCACAGCAACTCTTCTCCAATGTGAACAGGTACCCTTCGGCCGCGCGGCCGATTCGCTATGGAACGCTGCTGATGTCACTGCTGCGTGTCCTGGGATGGCATCCACAGTATGCAACAGGAGGTCGCTTACAGGACATCTCGTTGAGCACCATGAGTGTGGATTTTGTCTTACGTGCAGGAACGCAGACTGCATGCAGAGAGCCGGCAGAGGTATTGCAGAAAAAAGTTTCAGGAAGAGTCGTCTTGGAAGCGGCAGTGCAGCGAGGCCATTTCACACATCGGAGCGCAGTTGTATCCATCATGATGGGGAAAAGGGTTCAGTGATAAGCATGTCAGACAAGTTTTCGCCAGCCCTCCCGAGCTCTGGGGTCGTTCTCTTGCTGCGCATGTACGGCGTGGGCTCTTGGACATTTGCGTCGGAGTTCTGTGCTTCCCACCGCGGCCGCACAGTAAGAGAGCAGGGCCCAAGTATACGAGCGTGGTTGGACGACTTGTCAGTTGGTGGCGCTCTTGCGTCGAGCAGCTCCTGTCCAGATGCGTGCAATTTTTTCGCAGATTTGAATGATGGACTCGGACGTCGCAAGATGGTGGCGAATGGGTGAATTACGAGACGGAGGTAGTGGGGGGACGATGACGCAAGAGAGGAGGAGCGAGGGTGCTGGGGAGGCCGTGGCGACTTACTTTGCCCAGCAACATGCGCTCGCAGCGAATGCTGCCGGCCCGTTCGAGGCCATTTTTTGGCGACGGGCCGGAAGGCCCGTTCTCTCTCATCGATTACCTCTTCATTCCTCAGGGATGGGCGTCCAGAGTGCTCAAATGTCATGCCCTTCGCCGCCGGGGAGCTAAACTGCAACGTCAAAGAGGCCGCCCACCTCGGGGCCACATTCCTTTCTATCTGGAGCGTTTCTAGCCCAGGGGGCCTGGCGACTGCGCGTCGGGGCCCGACTTTACGCGGACCAAGATGGCCCTCGTGCAAGGCCTGAAGATTGGGCATGGGAGGGTGGAGTTTCTGGGGGGAGCGGAGAAGTGGTTGGGGGACAAGGAGGAGTTGAGGCGACAATTTTACGACCACGCTGCTCCAGACCACATGCTCAAGTTTTTGGAACAATGTTTAGTAGGGGCGGGTGCTGAGCACCTTTGCGATGCCCCAGACGAGCCAGCGAATTACTTCATTGGGCGGCCTTGCGTCGCCAACTTCTTCTGGGGCGCGCATCGACGCGGGCTTCGCGACAGGGCTCGCCCGACTTAGAGGCCGTTGAGGCCCAGCTGCGGGGCATCCCCCATCGCTTTCGCCTTCTCCGCCAGAGGCACCAGCGCGCAGGGCGCAATGCTTTCTTGCGGGCCTCGCGCGAGGCCGGGGGCCGACGAAATGTCTCCGAGTCCATGGGCTGGGCACGTCGTGCTGCTCGCTGCCGCTTTTCTTCCGAGAAGAGGGACTGCCGCAGATTTGGAGGTTGCCCTATCCCTGCGCAGTCCTGGCTAGATGTCTAGAGTCTGCCTGGCGGGGATGGGGGCATGGGCGCTTGTCAGATCGATTGGGGGTCCTGGAGGGCCGCTCGACATGACGTGGGCCTTGGGGCCACCTACGACCTACGACCTCCCTCGCCTTGGGGGACATCAAGAGGTTTCCGAGATAGTAAAGAGAAGAGGTAGTCAAAACGTCGAATCGCGCCCGAAGGAACCGCTCCTCTCGAGTTGCGGTGGCAGCGCGCAGCGCTTGCGCCCTCCAGAGGGAATTGAGTTTCAACGTGCAGGCATTTGCGCGGTCCGAGAGCCCCCTGATCCCGCCGGGTTTTTTGATGTGCTCCCGATGCTCTACTGAAGGTTCGTGTTACTGATGCGGCACCACTGTATTGGGGCCTAAGTCGCGGCTGTGCCCTGCGCGCGTCTGCCCTGCCTGGGCCGCGCGGGAGGCGCGTCGTCCGCGTCTTGCTTGTGGCGGGCAAGTCCTTCTTCTCCGCGCTCCCACCGAATCCCCCCCCCCATGGGGACTACGGGCGTCAGATGCATGGGGGGGGAGAGGGGGCTATTATGACATCTCAGGCGGCGGGGTGGAGGTTGAGAGATCATGGGTGGTGTTTCGGGGCCAGTCTATCGGAAATGAGCAATGCATTTGGGAGCACGTCTTGACCCGCACTAGATAGTACTCTGTCTCAACTTGTGGACGCAGACAACGTTTTGCTCTGCGAGAAAAGGCATCATGGCACGATCGTTCTGCTATCTAGTATGGGGGGGGGACATGGCGGCGGAGACTGGAATGGGGGGACGGGCGGACCACTTGTGCGAGAGGGAAATCCTACTCAGGTGAGCGCGGCTTATGTTCAGCATAAGCTCTCGAACGGCGCCGCGGCGCACTCCGCGCGCGCCGGCGAGTTACGGCGCGAATCCCTTGCAATTTGCGAACGGGCCTCCCGGGGCGGGGCCCGGAACGAGACTGGCCCGGAGATCAGGGGACTGGCGCTGCGAATCAAGGCAAAGAAGGAGGAGGAGGACAAGAAAGAGGACGAAACCATCAAACGCGCTTCAGCGCGGGATCGCGCGCGGCTTGAATTCGGGCGCCACCGCCGTTGGGCGGCTGCTCTGCGGGCCCCGGGCAGACGGCGGCGACGAGTCCGTTGCGCAGACAGGGGGAGGAAGAGAAGGCGAGGGGAGGGGGGCCGGAGCGCCGCGACGGATTCGCCCCGTTTTGAAACCGGCTGGACGGTTGCGACAGTTCCGGCGCACTTCAAAGTTCAGTTGTTGAAAATGCCCCCCGCAACTAGCCGCTCTGATGCCCGCCACCGTATAAACTAGACGACTCATCCTCCAGCCAGCTGCGCGCCTGTCTTCGCGAGCACGGGGTGGCCATGCGCAACCAAAATGGCGCATGCTCCCATCGCGCATCACGCATCTGCCATGCCGTCTCCGTCACCAACAACTTCCTTCAGCTGATCGTGCAAAGACTGTGGGGGGCGTTCATTGCCACCTCGCGGAGCCTGGCCCCGCTTCCCCTTGCCGCCATGCTTGTGGAGGTGGGCGATGGTGACGCCCGCCAGGGCCAAGCAGTCTGGGGGCGATTTGGTGGCGAGGTAGATTTTCGCATGTCCCTTGTCGAAGGCTTCCTTCACCTCGCAGACGTAGATGCGCGGGGGAATGTGATCGAGGGTCTTCATGGCAGACGCGTGCGCCGAGAGAAGCTTCATATGCGGGCCCTCGAGGGCGTTGGTGGCCGCCGCGTCCATCGCCAAAGCCGCCCATGCGTGAGCATGGGGCTCGCCGACCGGCGCCGTTCCTTGCCCCGAAGCGGCGGCGCGGGACCCCTTGGCGAACTGCTGCGTCGCAGACTATGGCCTGCGCTGCTAGAGCCATCGCCGGCGTCAGAATGGCGCGGAACGCGACGGCCTGCAGCTCGCGATTTCCGAGGGCGTGCTTCAAAGTGAGCTGCGAGATGACAGCCGGCAAACGTAGCCAGAGCGTCGGGCGAATCCCCCCTGGGTGCGCCGCGAACCGTCTGGGCGCCGCCCTGCCTGCCCCGGTTGCCGCGCTTCTGTTTGGGGCGCCCCCCGCGCCCAGGGGTTCCGGGACAAACAGGAAAAACAGCTTTATGTGGCAGCGGCTCGGCGCGGCGACGATTTTTTTTTGCTCTCAAATCTTCGGGCCTGCGCGTCGCGATGACGAAGCGGAGGGGGGCGGGAAATGGGCGGCGACGTGATCCAGCTACGCATCCAAAATATCGAACTGCCGTTCGCATTGTAAACGGGCCATATCCGTGTAAGACGCTGGCTCCACATGTGCACGGCTGCCGCGCCCCGTGCAATGCCGCGGTTGTAAATGTGATCGAGCGTGCCCTTTTACGGTTCGCTTGTTTTTATGTGCCCGCCGACGCCGCGGACGCGCGTTAGATGAAGCAGCTGCATGCGCAGGCGTCGTGGACCCATGGGCACCGAAACAAGTGCGCGACGCATGTGCTGTAAGTGCCTTGCGCGTTTGGAAACCTGCGTTGCGCGCCGTGCCATCGTCCAACAGGCGCGTGCGCGCGCGCGGGCATGCCCCGCCACGCGTGGGAGGCGGTTGTG